GCCCTTTATAACTTTAGTATGTACTATATATAAACAGTATCATTGATAATCATCAATTTATAAACCCATATTTCTCTTTATGCATGCATAAGATATAGACATTTTCATAATCACTAGGTACCCGTGCCTCTTCAAGGGCTTTCATTGTTTTCTAATGGACTTATGTCTTCATATAAGACTGTATCGCTTGCAAGATGAAATATATAGGAAATGTGGATATTTCATATAGTATTATATTATTTGGGATGCATGAACCTTTTAATATCGTCTCAATTTCAGCGGAGCCAATTGTTGACTACTTAGGCACACAACTAGATAAATAATTTGCCACCACTTTAGATTGCCTAATTAGGACATCAACATTTTGATGTGAATTGTCACTTCAGTTGTGTTTTTAAATGCTTTTATCATTTGACTTGCAATATTCTAGATTGCGATTTCTTTCATACCTTACTTTTATATTAGGTGGCACAAAATTTTGATGAAACAATAATGAATGCATTTCATAGCAATTCACGTCGTTCTTCAGGAACAATATTTTCTCCCCCTAACGATGGGAAATTGGTCTCATCAAAATAATGCTATTTGATTGGAGTGGTAAGTGTTGTCCTTCAAGGACTAAATATAAATAATATAAAGATGATAACGTGAAGCAAAATCTTCAGGTTCGCTCAATATATAGTATAAGATAAATACCATGGTCTTCGAAAATGATATAAAGCTTACATTCGCTTTAGGGAATATTATGTATGCTTATATTTCTTCGGGAAATAATAGATCTAATCATATGAAATTCGTGGATGCATAATAAAGACTTTTTATTTACCAACAATTGAACACATCATATTTTCTATATTGCTACTGTTGGAGCACTTGGAACATGAAAGGATAGATTTATTCCTTTATTACTTGGATCTCTATTTTCTTTCTTATTTGTGTGTATATATATATATATATATATATATATAAGAATATCCACTTTTAGGATATCCATGAAAAATAGAACAAAAACAAATTCATTGAACTTCTGATTCATATAATATACTTAGGGTCAGTTTGGTATTGCTGTGTTGTGAAAATAATTGTTGTCAGATTTGATGTGAGAGAAAGCAGTTTGGCGTTTGGTAAACTTTTTGTTAAAATTGTTGTTGGTACTGATTCCCACATAATCAGAAAATGATTGCTGCATAATCATTAAACTCAGCGTCTCTTCGAAATTGATTCCTGCATAATCAGAAAATGAAAGCACCTCATTAGCTGCTTTCCCTTATAGCTATCTCTCAGAGCAATTTTTAACAATAAGTGATTTTATCATAGTTTACCAAACAGGCTGACCTTCCCAAATTTTTTTAAAAATCACTTATCACCCCAAATAAGCAATGTCAAACTGGCACTTAAAACATTCTTTGTGGACTTAAAATTTCAAAATCCAAAACTTATGGTTCAGAATACAAATTAAATATCCAAAACTTTAGTTTTTGATTAAAATGTGTAATCATAACTTCGGGTTTTGAATTAAGTATGTCATTGCAAATAGTTCATATTTTTATAATCTCAAATTAAATTTTGTATTTCAAATATGTATAATGAAACTTCTAATCTCACCTAACTGTTTAACATGGTACTTCTGGTCTAAATAAGATATAAATAAATAATTCACAAAGACAATAAAGCAGTACTAATTAAAAAAAAAAACTTACAATAATAATCACACCGAGTTATAAAAATAAATAAAATATATGATAAAATATAAAACATAAAATAGAAGGTTATAAGATAAATTGAATATATCGAAGATTCTAAGATAAATTTAATTTATAGAATTACATATTCTAATATGAAGATATTTGTAAATTTCTATTATAAGCTAGAAATTTAAAAAGTTTCGAACTTCAAGTTTTAAAGTATAGAACTTTGGATTTTAGCGAGTCATATAAATAAAACTTCTGGCTATAGACTGAATTTGATCTTGAACATCAGGTTCAAAAAGATCACATAAAAGTATTGATTTTAAGAAAAATATGTTCAAAACTAAATGATGAATCAAAGGTCTTTCAAGCTCAATTTGATAGCAATAGCATAGATATGATAATTGAAGAACTTCCGGTTCCAATTAAATTGTGTGATATAGAACTACAGGTTCTAATTAAATATAAGATTAATAAAAACTAAGAATCAATGAACTTGAAAGTTCCAATCTTTTGATTCCATTGTGGAGAACATGATAAAGAAAAAAGAAAAAACAACGTTTGATTCTAAACTTTAGGTTCAATTAATATTTTATATATGTTATGCCATAACTGCAGGTTCTTGACAGGATATGAACTACGGGTTCATATTAATATTAATCTCGATAGACAATTATGAACTTTGGATATATATTAACGTACATCTGACACTTCAGGTTCGGTTGCCTATGTCAAATTAAAAAGAATACCTAGTTTTGAACTGTAGGTCCAAATTTGTAGTATTATGATATTGTTCAAGGTAATAGAATAAATCGATAATAATAAATAAAAATTAGAAAACATGAAATCCAAATAATGTCGAAACTTCAAGTTCTTAATATGATGTATATTTTTCATCCCAAAATCAAAATACATATGCACTTGTTGAAATATCAATTTGGAGGTTGACACAATTAGAACTTCAGGTTCTAGAATTTATTTATTTTAATGCACATGTGACCGAAACTTATAGTATGGATTAGACATTGAACTTCGAGTCATATTAAGAACTTCAGGTCCTTAAATATAAATTATTGAAATGAAAACAAATAAGTGAATATAACAATAAAAATAAAATAATAATTAAAAATAAAAAAAATTGTTAGAACTTCTGATTCCAGTTAAAGAAAAATCAAAGAACTCCAAGTCTTGATTTGTTTTTTGAGAAGTGCAGAACTTCAAGTCTTTGTATATATATTAAATGGATTGAGAACTAAGAGACTTTGGCTCTTTATTTAATTATATAATTTAGGGACTTTGGATCCTTGCATAAAATAAAAATGAAACTAAAGAAAAAGAACTAAGTAAAAATAAAATACAACAAAAATTAAAATATTGCAATAAAATAAATTGTTGAAACTTCTGATTCCAATGAAAAATAAGTCAAAGAGCTTCAGGTTTTCATTTTCCTTTTAAGAATTGGGGAACTTCAAGTCCACAAATATTTATATTATAAGGATTGAAATCTAAGGATCTTTTGGCCCTTACATGATTGAATAAGAATTGAGGAACTTCTTGTCCTCCATTAGTTATAAAAGAATTGAAATTCTTGAGTATCTCACTTTACCTCATAAAGATTGGTGACATGAAATATCACGTTGATATTGATCTTTACTCTTAACGAAAATCTTGAATTTTGACAATAACAAAATACAGTTGAAATCTTGTAAGTAGATAGACAAGATAGATATCTATAATAAAAATGCTAATTTCTTTATAAAAAATCAAATTTCATATACACTAGATATGTAAATGAAAATGAAAATAAAATAACTTATCTGTTTGGAATCTTGTCGTTCAACTTCCTTTTGTTGATGCACTTCTTTCCATTTGTCAAAGCCTATGTAACAAGAGTTCTATACTTTCGATATATAAGAGGAAATAATTCTATTTCTAAGATAGAAAAACAAAACCTCAAGTGGTTAGAGGCTCATGTTGATAACGTATTATATAATTAAGGAAAAATTGTAAAGAGAATTTGAAAGTAGAGAAAGACAATAGAATTTGTGTCAATCAACTTGTATGTCTCATCCTGGTAAGACCTCTTATTTATAGGCTTATAATGATATGAAGACATTAATGACTCAAAAATTACAAGCTCATAACTATGGTATTTAGTGTATATGTTACATAGAATTTGAAACGGTGAATGCTAAGAGGTATGGTGGTCATCCACCAACTCATGCATTACAAGTCCTGCATATTTCAAGATTTTTGCAGTAGAACGCGTAGACGATATTGTCCAAGAGCCCATTTTGGGAAGATATTTCGATATGATGAATAGTTTAGTGTACAATTCCTCATAAATACTCCAGTAATTTCCTGTAATGATACACAAATGAATTAAGTTTAAAAGTTAAATCATTATGAAAAAAATATAAAATAAGTGTAATATTATTAACAATGTAAGATCCCTTTATTTACCTGTTGAGGGAAGTCACCATCGGGCATTTGTGAATTGATCAATAGCCTTATTCCACGATGGATGGGTGTTGAATCTATGTCAACCTGAATTTTCATCCAGACGTATTTAAATATATATATTTTTAAGACCTTTCTTATTAAGAGGAGTGTATATTTAAATAATTTAATATTGAGGTACACTCCGAATTCAACTTCTTTATTTTAGTGCCTTGACATTGCAATTTGCATGGCATGGATTAGAATTTTCTTTCTGTCAAGAAAGCAGCTTCATCCTGGGCTGGGGCTGGGAGGAAGTTTTCAATATTTTCCTTTGCTCACAGTAGGATATTTATAGTTAATAATTTCCCACTTCAAATGTCGTTTGTGGGTAGAGCTCATGATCTATTTGCGTATGTACGTGATAATACCAATACTGACCTGCCCTGCGTTGATAAGGGATAACAATGCCCATGAAGTGTGTACCAAATTGGCGCGGTTGCCTTCCAGATTTGTGTACACCTGTTTCCAAAAATACATTTGCAGCATGACATAATAAGAAGACAAATGAAACAACGCATCTTACAAACTACATTGACCAAAATCATGTAGGATACGATAACACGAACATGTACGATAAATTAAGGATTTGGATCGAGCCTTATCGGGTTTAGGTATATAATACGATACTGAGAAGTACGTTATTTTTATGATATCTGGTTTTACTTTTCTATATGTATGTTTTTGGGAATATATTTGGGGATTTTGTTATATTATGTGTTTAGGGTATCCTTCTTCAAATTGACCGCCATTAAAACAGTTTGATGTTATTGGTCTTAAAATTTCACTCTCATTATCTGATGCACAGTTTAATTACATCAATTTCTTTCCCCTTGCGTACCTTATTTTGACTTGAAAGGTAACTCTCTCCCCATCCACCATTAGGTAGCTGCTTTGATAGTAAAATTCACAAGCTTTCCGCAATGCGAGGCTGTTCTGGTAGTTCTTTCCACAGGCTGCTAGCCCCTCTACAGCAAACCATGTTCCATATGTGTAGCAAATACCCCAACATCCATACCTGTTCAATTTTAATCTCTTGTAATATATTCTGTGCCCTTAATCTAATCAAAAAAAAAAAAAAAAAAAAAAAAAAAAAAAAAAAAAACTATTCATTTGCTTCTACTATCTCCAACTATTAGACTTACATAGACACACATGAACAAGCAATTGGACACATTTAGTTTAGAAAGAAATGTGCATCTGATCAATATCAGTCTTTTGTTTTTCCAAACGGATGTCTAAAAACAAATTAATTACCATGATCCATCAGGATTTTGTGTGTCTTCAATGTAACGAATTCCTCTTGATATGCAACTTTCTATTTCCTTCCTTCGGTGCTCAGGATATAATTTCCTAAAGAGTTCTAGACCTTGAACTGCTGATGATGTGCACTCTACGTACCTAATTAAGATTACACATGTATATAAGTGTTAGAAATTAGAAAATGAAGCTCGAGAGACCATTAAATTTCTATATCTAAAAAGTTTTCGAAGCAATCATACTCTCGTTCAATAAGAGTATCCTCAAAGAACTCTGTGGGATTGAACTTCTGCAAGAGAATAAAAGTTTATACGACGCTTTGCCTAACTATATGAGATTGATATATAAACTTCCAAGCTTAGAGCATTATTACGTACCTCCAACCAACGAAATGCTCTTTGAGGCTCCCAAGCAGGGAAACCCCCACTGATGCTCTGGTATTGAAAATTAGAGAACAAAAGCATGTTATGTTACCAAAACTTAGTTGTAAGAAACTATATATATACCTTTGTTTAGTTGGTTCTTACTTGCAAAGAAAGAATGACATTCACAGCATCATAGAAACATTCTGTTTGCATTTTTTGTCCAACTAGTTCCGTTGACATTTGTGACAACAAGAGTGCAGCCTAGCTACATTAGACAAAAGATTAGTGCCCACCACCCTTAACTCCTTCCTTTAAAAAAATTAATAAGAATATGTGGGTAATATATATACATTTAAGTAGCAGAGTTGCAATACAACCTTTAGTCCTTCTCCGGTGCAATCAGAGACTTGCCAACCATGGTCCTGCGTTGAGAATGTCCATGCGCCTTTAGAAATGTGACGATACATTGCAACGAAGTTACCAGAAGGGTTTGCTCGAACCTTCAAAAAATAAAATAATTCTCTCAAGTATATGTTGTGGTAGACAAAACTATCGAGGGAGATGTATCATGTATGCATATGATCAGTGAAATATAACCTGTGAAGCCTTCAAGAAGTCATGTGCTTTCCGAAGTGTTGGCCCATACTCGTCGTTTAGGTTACAGGAGAGTATTGCTTGGATTGCAAACACTGCATCCCACGTTTGAGAGCCAAAACTCTGCAGTAAATAATGTTTTGTTGACAACAATTAATTTCGACATATGGACAATCTGATCTTTATTAACGACCATACGTACATCCTGTACAGAACCGGTCTCAAGGTGTGCTTATATAGTTTGTTTTAATTATGCCTTTGCCTCTTGAAACAAGGTCAAATTCCATATTGTCCCTCTCTTAAGTCATTTTGACTCACTTTATTCCTTTGACCAGCTTTTTGCATCTCAGTTTGTCCCTGCCCTTCACAAATTTATAACACGATATGAACGCGCACAAGAAAAATTGAATGTTCAGGTTGAACGTTAACGGGTGTATTTATAACGAATGAACTCGTTAACGGATGCCATTTCTGTCCCATCAGCAACTTTGACGGACTTGAGGGTCAGGGGCAAATGAGAGGTAAAAGGTCGGTGAAGAAGAGCAAAGTAGGTCAAGGTGACTTTCAAGGAGCAATATGGATTAGACCTATCTTTTAACGGCAATTGGTTCTTGTTTTCGTGCAACCACTTGTATATGGAAGACCTGACAGATGAGTCACCTGAAATTTCAAGCCATCTTCAGCAACCCAAAAGTAATCTGGAATTCTGGCCAGATGAAGCTTATATGCTTCTGAATTTGGATCCTCTACCCAACAAGCAAGCAAACATAACACCTGCAAATGCAGCTAGCATTTCAGATTGGAGAAAAAAGCTGTGAAGTTCGGTTTAAATATTTCTTGCTTCCACACATGTTAATTACCTTTTCTACACATCCAATGCAAAGGTATCTGCTATTCTGATCCTCATAATGTACATGGTCAATTGCAACTTTTAGAGCCTTCTCTCTCAGAAGAGAAAAGGGCCAACGAGCCAGAATAGGTTCGGCGACATGGTGAAGAAATCCCCATAGCATATCTTGCACTAGAGGGTGTGGATAGTAGAGATCTTCCTGAAATAGCAAGCATTTTGGCTGAGCTTTAAGTACGTTACCAAGGTATAATATATTTTTTTAACGGAACACTTCATAGGTTCCAATGTAATATTGGAAAATACTTGTCTTCTTCCCTAAAAGTAGGGACTCCTACTTTCCTACCAATTACAGTTTGACATGCGTGCAAAGATTTTTCCTTTTGCGTTTTTGATAATTTATTTTTATAGGTGTCAAACGGTGATTTGTGGGAAGTAGAGGAATCCCTTCAAGGGAAGCAGTGTCCTAACTAATTAACTCATGGTATTGCTACTGATCTGATATAACATTTTAAACAACTAACCTTTGCAACTGTGTTTTTAGCTTTAGGCCAGTTTATTTCATGGTAAGGCTCAGTGTAGAGCTCTTGTCTGAGCGACCGAACCATTCCAGTGATTGGACCAACAAATCTCTTCCCATATAAGTATGACATAGGCATGTAGACCAGGCGACAATAGCACAACATTTTGCCTGTTTTTCAGATATTGTAATGAAGTACATATTTTTGTTTGTGCGTGCATCTGATTTAACAAGAAGCATGCTTAAAGAAAATATGGGTTTGCTTCGAATTCGAACCTGGATGAATGGGAGAGATATTTGGTATAAGCCAGAACTCAGGAGGCAGAGGATTGCACCCTGACCACTCATATACTCCTAGCACCTAGTTGAACCAAGAGAGAGAGAGAGAGAGAGAGAGGTAATTAACTCTTTAATTTTAATTTGACATGAAAAATTATAAGTGACGACGACAGCTATATACGTACGCTAAGCCAAAACTTTCCCCAAGATGGGATCCCCAGTGCACCACCATGGTCAAGAATCCATCTTCTGGCTCTTGCCAGTGCCACAGCCTTGTCTTCTTCACCATCATCATCATCAGGATCCTCTCCAAGCAGCCTCAGGGCAATGTAGCTTAGTGCTGACCCAAACATTGTGCTCTGCCCTTCTATGTGTAGTCCCCATCCTCCATCTTCATTCTGCCCACCTCAATCATCTTAGTTTTTTAATCAACTAAATCTCTATAATAATATTAAAAAAACAATTAATATTATTTTGGATCTTGGCAGAGATCTAGCAAATTGGTAGCTGAATTAAGTACCTGATGATTGTATATGTAGCGAATTATTTCCTTCTGGTGTTCTGGTCCTAGAACCGCATTGAGGGCTCCAGTAATATGCAATGCTATTAACTGCATATATATCATATAAATTTTGATGGCCTTGATTTTATTTTGATAAATCATTAACCATAAACATATATATGGGAAAATAAATGTATATGTGCAGGCATGCACACATCAATTGATTTTTTATTTTGTTTGACAAAGGCGATATTCTAAATTACTCTAATGTACGAGTGAGGGATTCGAAGTAAGAAATAGTATATTAGTAGTACCAAAGGTTGAATGAAAAACAAGGGATCAGCAGATTCAGCAGGCCAATGACCATCATGGGCTTGAATGGAAGAAAAGAAGTTGAGAGCCCTTCTCAGTGTACTTGTCACTGCTTCCTCTGTTATCTCTTCTGTTTCCTTCACCTTCACAGCCCTTGGAGCTGGAATTCGTCCTCCACATGGATTTTCCTTGGTAAGCTGTGAGAGAGAGCAATTTAATTTCACATCAAAGATAACATTAAAAAGATTACATAAATTACAAATGAAAAACATACCTGCATTCTCATCAAAAGATCAGCACTTTGTTTGACTCGAAACCGGTTTTTCTTAAACTCGTCACGAAGTCTTTCGACTTGTGCTCGCTCTTCTGGTGTTCCGGCATCAGGATCAAACTCCCAATGTTGTCGACCAATGTGATTATTTACGGTGGACAACCGGGGTCCTCCCTCGGCTATCTTCAGCTTCCACATATTATTATTTAGTCCTTAATTATATGCACCAAATGAAATGATGATCAGAATCTGTTCCTAAGTAGATACATTATAGTAATATTTAGCACATTAAAATGGAACCGCTATTTTCGAAATGAATCAATGAAGGACAAGCACTAGCTAGTACAATTTCAAGACAAGCCAATTGGAAGAAGGCCATGCATATGCTTATTCACTGCCGTCTGCATGCAGAGCAAACGCTACAGCAGGCTAGCTAAGCTAGAAAATATAGATTCATTCTGTTAGTGATTATGCATGTTATTTAAATGGAAAATGCGAAGCAGCAGCAGCAGGAGCTATAGGGAAAGAGAATAAGCTGTGCATATAATCAAATACCTGAATGATCCGGAGAGGAATGGAATTTTTAGTGTTAGTTCTCAATTCTGAGGAACACTCCCAAGTCTGATATATATATATATATATATATATATATAAAATATACAGAGAGCTTCCATTGAAGGATCCCTCAAATAAGCTTATTTGAGGGACACTCCTTGTAGGGCCCACTCCGGATTGTATTTCACTAATCCATACCGTCTATTTTGTAGATACTCATTCAAAGATCATCTTTACAAAAAATCACTTGAATTCGATATCATTTGACCATTCAATTGAGTCATTGAAATTTTAGTACTTTCTTGAAGCGCCGTGTTCATTGATTTTGTAGGACACAATTGGATGTCGAAACGGTTTCCGATTTGTCTAATTTTTTGTAAGGATGATCTATGAATGAATACCTGAAAAATAGATGGTTTGAATCATTGGAAAAAAAATTGTAGGGTACCCTAAAAGGCGTCCCTCAAATAAAATTATTTGAGGGATCCCTCAATAGAAGGGGACTGTATATATTGATGAGTCGATTTTATATTATATATTTAACCTCATTCTTAGTATATTTTGGTTAATATTTTGGAAGAATTTTGATACTTTGAATTATATTTCCAATATAGGACTTTCGACTCTCTCTGGAGCAAAACATAATCAAATGGATGAATTTTGGAGTAATTCCAGTTGGAGGATGTACGTGAGTCACTTAGCTTGATCGTATCAAAATATCAGACTTTTCCACTAAACGATGATTTCCTGGTGAATAAATGAAGGAGCAATGTGCAGTGCTGGAATAGTGACGTTTTGGGCTTATATTGCGTTTTTGGAGCCCAAGATGACCTCAGATGGGTTTGAGGCCTTTTGGTTTCGGAATATTTTTATCTTTAAAACGAGCTATCTTGGGCCAGATTTGGGGGAGATTTGAGACTAAAACGTGGCTGGGCAGATTATGGGCAGATTCTCCTAATTCAATTTGGATTTTATTTCCTAGTCTTATTTTACTTTAACTTAGTTTCCTTGTGGGGATTGGGTAGCTAGGTTTTAGGAGTTATTTAAGCTCCTTTTCACAGAATTTAGGGGACTTCCTTTTGACTTCTTTTTGGCTTTGGGAGCAATTGCTAGGGCGAGGCCGTAAGCCTTAGCATGAATATGTAGTTTTATTAATTTGCTTATGAATGGATGCATGTTTGCTTTGAATTATTAATCACTGTGTTTAAAACTATCTATCTATTTTAATGACTGATCACCATTAGGATATGTAGACAAGTAATTTGATGCAATTTCTGTTGGAACATCACCCTGAAATTGAGGAGGGCTTCTTGTGATTAGTAATTGTAGGTTAACTTAAGGCGAACATCACGCTCTTAAGGGTTGCATAGTTTTTCAAAGGGTTTTCACAAAGCTTAATGAGTCTTGCATGTTTATATTTGATCTGAACATCACAGACGGATTGCATGTTAGATATACGTTTTCGCTTGAACATCACAAGGAAAATATGCATTAGGAAAACCTAACCTTCAAAGCATATATGTGGAAATTCATAAGTAATTGATAGAATTGCATAGGATTGCGACGGTGTTGGCTAAACCCTAGTTTTCTCTAAATTGTTAGTCTTTAAAAAGAAATCGTTTTTCTTCTTTGCTGTTATTATTTCCCAACTTTCAGATTTCTTTTACTGTTAGTTTAATCTTTTCAAATTCATAAACTTCAAATCTTTGATAAAATCTATTTTAGTTATTAATTAAGAGTTAGTTTAATTACAGATTAGTCAAACAATCTTTGGGGACAACGACCTTGCATGAGCATTTATACTACAATAACCTTGTATTCTTGCAAGTATTTTCAGTAATTTTAACCCTGTTTGCGCAGGTACTAAAAATCGTATCGTATATATATATATATATATATATATATATATGTATCAATTGTCAATAATTGTGACTGGTTAATTGTCATTAATTGTTAGGGTAGGCAGGTGGTGACTAGTGATGATTAATCGTTACTGGTTAGTTCCAACCTCAATTGTCATTTGCTTGTTAGGTTCAGAATTTCAAAATTTCAACACTGCTTCTATGAGCTCAACTTGTGCCACCGAAGCAGAGTTAGAATTTTTAGATTGGTTGGCCAAAATTTAAACTCTGTTGTAAATAGCTTCATCAACTTCTGACCAAAAAAATAAAAAGAGGTTAAATGAATAAGAGTTTATTAATATTAATAAAGTGAAGGGCTAACAACAATATACCACCTAGGGATTTGGGGTTATTTTTAAAATGGGTCATAAAGTTTCAATTTCATCAATTTACACCTCAACCTTATAGAAATGGATCAATTTAGGTGCAATAAAATATTAAAAAATGCTGATGTGTAAACAAGACCATTGGAAGAAGGCCATGCATATGCTTATTCACTGCCGTCTGCATGCAGAGCAAACGCTACTGCAGGCTAGCTAAGCTAGAAAATATAGATTCATAATAATATATATATTAAATAACATGCATAATCGTATCGTGTGTATATATATATATATATATATATATATATATATAAATTGTCATTAACTGTTACTGGTTAATTGTCATTAATTGTTAGGGTAGGCTGGCGGTGACTAGTGACGATTGATTAATCGTTACTGGTTAGTTCCAACCTCAATTGTCATTTACTTGTTAGGTTCAGAATTTCAAAATTTCAACACTGCTTTTATGAGCTCAACTTGTGCCACCGAAGCAGAGTTAGAATTATTAGATTGGTTGGCGAAAATTTAAAAGGGAGATTCACTATTATACCAAATATAGGAGCCCAAATTATTTATAAAAAAACTATAAGAAATGGACTTTAAAAACACACCCAAAGCCCAATTACAACATAACAAAAATGCTTTTAACTTCTTTTAAATTACAAAACTGTCATTGATTTCTTAAGACAAACCTAACCCCAAAACCTTATAAAAAAGCCCAAAACACTTAATAGGGCATCAAAGTAATTTAATAATCAAAATTAAATTCAATAGGGCAAGCTGTCATTTTTTGGGTTTGTTTATAGAAATTAAATGGTTTATGGTTTATTTATAGTTTCAGTGCTAAGAATTGGTATATGACTAAATACCTCTTATTAATATTAATAAAGTGAAGAGAAATTGATCAATTTAGGTGTAATAAAATATTAAAAAATGCTAAGGTGTAAACAAATAAAAATAAAATCACCCAAACCCATCAATCGTCTCTTCCCTTCGTCATCTCTCTCTCACCATTCCGATCTCCCCTATCCTCCCTCCTTTATCTCTCTTCTCTCTCGCGATCGGTTACCCTAATTGTTAATAAAACTTAAAATTTAATTCTAAAAATAAAATAAAAATATATGCATCTCCCTCTCTGTCTTCCTTCCCCTTCTCCTCCCAAAAATAAAAATATTTGGGTGAAAATAAATTAATACTTGAATATTTCAACTAAGCAGACCAACCAGGGTTAATTATCACAAATTAGATACACATAAAAATGGAACCGCTATTTTCGAAATGAATCAATAAAGGACAAGCACTAGCTAGTACAATTTCAAGGCAAGCCAATTGGTAGAAGGCAATGAAAATGACAATAATCAATTACAATCGCCAACACTCAAGTTAATGCTTACCTCACTTGTCAATGCTAGTTACTTAGGTTGAGAATTTCAAATTTTCAAAACTGCATTTATGATGTGAACTTGCGTGTTACATACGATACAGCGACGAAGTTAGGATTTTTAGATTGATCGACCAAAATTTAAATAGCTTCATCATCTTAAAAGAGTGAAGGAGCCAAAGCCACTCTATTGAAATCAATAAGAGTAACATGAGAAAGGAATACAGGGAATGGGCTTAGGTAAGGGGTCAACAACCTCTTCTTACCCTACCTTTTTTTCGAATAAAACTCTATGTTTGGATTCTGCATCCTTCCAGTATATATATATATATATATATATATATATATATATACAGTCCCCTTCTATTGAGGGATTCCTCAAATAATTTTATTTGAGGGACGCCCTTTAGGGTATCCTACAATTTTTTTTCCAACGATCCAAAGTATATACTTTTTAGGTCTTCATTCATAGATCATCCTTACAAAAAATTAGACAAATCGGAAACCGTTTCGACATCCAATTGTGTTTTACAAAATCAATGAACACGGTGCTTCAAGAAAGTACTAAAATTTCAATAACTCAATATGTTGGACTGAAAATGACAATAACGTATTACAATCGCCAACACACAAGTTAATGCAAACCTCACTTGTCAATGCTAGTTGTAGTTAGTTAGGTTGAGAATTTCAAATTTTCAAACCTATATATGTATACCTAGATTTCGGCCAATTCTTTATATTTTTATAATTATCATTTTTGGATGTACTCTATATGTTGGACTGAAAATGACAATAATGTATTACAATCGCCAACACTCAAGTTAATGCAAACCTCACTTCTTAATGCTAGTTAGTTAGGTTGAGAATTTCAAATTTTCAAAACTGATTTTATGATGTGAACTTGCGTGTTACATACAATACAACGACGAAGTTAGGATTTTTAGATTGGTCCACCAAAATTTAAATAGCTTCATCATCTTAAAAGAGTGAAGGGGCCAAAGCCACTCTATTGAAATGAATTAGAGTAACATGAGAAAGGGATACAGGGAATGGGCCTAGGTAAGGGGTTAACAACCTCTTCTTTCCCTACCTTGTTTCGAATAAAGCTCTGTGTTTGGATTCTGCATCCCTCCCTATATATATATGTATACCTAGATTTCGGCCAATTCTTTATATTGTATAATTATCATTTTCGGACGTACTCTGTATGTTGGACAAAAAATGACAATAACGTATTACAATCACCAGCACTCAAGTTATTGCAAACCTCATTTGTCAATCCTAGTTAGTTAGGTTGAGAATTTCAAATTTTCAAAACTGCTTTTATGATGTGAACTTGTATGTTACATACGATACAGCGACGAAGTTAGGATTTTTAGATTGGTCGACCAAAATTTAAATAGCTTCATTGTGGAAGCAAAATATCTCACCATAGGTCAAATAATTAGACCAATCAATTTGGGGATTATTTGACCTAATTGGGAGTTACCTAACCTAATTGGGAGTTACTTGAATTAATGGGGAGGTTACCTAATTCAAATTGGATGTATTTGATCCTCGCCTTAATTAGGGATTTGGTTAAATCCCTAATCCCTAAATACACCAACCTCACCAACCACCCCAACCTCACCAACTGCACCAACCCCATCAACCTCACCAAATATGAAAGCCTGGCCCTCTACCCTATAAATACTTGGCTACGCACAAGAATTGAGGTACGTCTAAATTCCTACTGAAATTCTACATAAGTTATCCCTCACAAACCTTAGCCACTATATTCTTTCTCTCCCTCACACAAGGCTTCGGCCACCACACAGGGCTCCGGCCACCCGGTTTTCCTTGAAACACCCTACCTAACTTAGGCATCGGAAGACCTTTGGCCAACACCCCACGGGTGTGGTCCTTTTACTCCGATATGTTTTGCAGGGAGAAAGAGAAGCTGAAAAGACGAACGAAAATTGCTCCCACAAATTGGTGCTTTCATTGAGAGCGTGAAATAATACTCAAAGCGTGCTCCAAATCCATTTTCAACACTTTTTTTTTCAAACAACCATGGTTGATACAAGACATACAAAGAGTCACACCACCACGGCGGGCCCGTCTCACGGTTTCGTGGGGAAAACCTCAACGCAACCGCACGGAATAGTGGCTGCCAACGCCTTGCAGCCGTCTCCTAATGCCTTGCAGCCACCTTCATCTACTGGAATTGCAGAACAGCCGCCACATGACCCTGTAACCTCCACAGCCTTGCAGCTGGAAGCGCAGATTGCCGAAGTTGCTCTGCCGCGCCATTCTGCCATTGGAGCACAGCAGCAACTGTATCACTCAGTTGCCGAAATTGCAGCACAGCCCCACGGTTACTTCGACGCCTTTCCAGCCTTGGAGCATATCTATTCTCTCCATCCTCTGCAACCATACTTGACGTATGCACTTGTGTACGCATCCAATGGAGCCCTAGCCCATATGCCGTTGGGCCTGATGAACACTACTCTACTTGACCCGCGCAGTGAGGTGGACCTTAACTCACGAGTTGATTAACTCACACAGAGGGCTGACGATCAAAACAACCTGATTGGCCAGCTACTCAGGAAGATCAACTTGAATCAATGCCCTAACCTTGGACCCCATGACAAGGAGAGGAGGATGCTTGAGCAAGTCGGCGAGCAGTTCGAGAGGTCCCAGGTTGGTTAGAATGGAGCAGACAAGCAGGGAAGAGGACGAGACGCAGACAGCTGCAAGCCGTACTTTGAGCCGTTCGGGGCTAGGTCCAAGGACCAATGTGCTCTAGAGGCTAGGCCCACAGTCCAATGTCTACGCTCGTTTGGACCCACAAGGAGCTCGAGTTCGTGAGCAGTCGCGTGACGAGCGCAACGATCGATGCCCACCACGCTGTAGAGGGATCCTTCTAAGCTCAACCATCTCATCTGCCCCACGGGCAGGGACTAAGGGGATCGACCCTTGGGAGCTGAGGAAGAAGTTAGCCAGTCGCGTACGAGGCATTAAAGACGTCGACCTGAGCAACCCTCCTTACTGGCAGAAGATGACGATCGATGCCTACCAGCCCGTTCAAGGACCAACACGCGGTGAGAATCTGTAGAGGAATCCTCACAAGCTCAATCTCCTAATCTGCCTCACGAGCAGGGCACCCAAGTGGATCGACCCTTGGGGACTGAGGAAGAAGTTAGCCACTCGCGCTCGAGGCACCAAAGATGTCGGCCCGAGACTTCAGCCCTGCAGGCAGAGGATGTCGAGAAGCTAGTAAATGACTGACTCCAAGGTCTCCAACTTAAAGGAAGCACAGAGGAGGCCCTGCGCAAGGAAATTAATCGAGTTGACTACTCGCCCTTTACTGACGAGGTGAAACAAGCTCCGCCGCCAAAGCGGTTCACAACGTCATCCATCACTCCATTCAAGGGGGACTTTGACCTTGAGATCCATTTGAGGCACTTCAAGAGCGCCATGATCCTGTACAAGGCAGACGACGCCCTGATGTGCAAAGTGTTCGGGATGACTCTGCGAGGAGCAACTCAAGACTGGTTCCACACTTTACCGTCCGTGTCGACAAGGAGTTAGCCATCATCTTCACAAAGGAGTACACCTCTTATAAGACGGTCAGAAAGCATGCAGACCACCTGTTCAACCTACACAAGAAGCCAGATGAGTCTTTACGAGACTACCTGAGACGGTTTAAGGCTGAGAAGGCTAACATCGTAGGTTGCAATGACCAAGTTGCACCCTCAGCTTTCAAGAAGGGGTTGCCAACCCAGCATGAGCTATACTGGGAGCTGGCCATAACTCCAAGCCAAACCTTGGTAGAAGTCTTCGAGACGGCAAAGCGCTATGCACTTTGGGAAGATGATCGTATCACCCAAAGAAAGCCAGCAAGCAAGTTGATCACCTCACGAAACAGGCAAGCCAAAAGAGCAACAAGTTCGAGCAAAAAGCCCGGAACAAGTTTAGATCGCGGCCCTCAAGAGGGAGGCTCAGAAACAGGGACCTTACCGAGTTCACTATCCCAATCCATCAGATCCATGCATAAGTGAAGGACAAGCCGTGGGTGAGAAGACTGCCATCCATGATTGGAGACCCTTTTAAGATGGTCACCAGTAAATACTGCGTATTCCACGGGGAGCATGGTCATTACACCAACAACTGCAATGCTTGGAAAAGACACCTTGAAGAGCTGGTCAGAGATGGTCGTTGCACAGAATTCGTTGTAAAGAAGGTCATCCAGCAGATCAAGGATCGTGATGCAGCTGTTAAGGAACCTCCCCAAAAGGTCATTTTGATCAACACCATTCTAGTTGGCTCCCAGGAATCCGGGCTGACCACCAAGGAGTGCAAAAGAAAGATCGCGCATGCGACTTATGTGTCCCAAGTCATAATGGGAGTACCAGTCATTGTGGATATACCCATCATCGGCTTTTAGAAGAAGAACTTGATCGGGCTTGACCTGCCGTATAATGACGCCTTGGTCATCTGCATCCAAATTGAACAAGCCGTGATCGAGTGAGTTCATGTAGATAAGGGCCATGCATCCAACATCCTGTAACTATCTGTTATCCAACAGATGAGATTGGAGCCCAAGAATAGCAAACTTGCCAAATCACTCAACGGCTTCAATAGGGCCACGTCAATCACTGTTGGAATGACCGACCTTGACATCCACTCACCCCCAGTGGTCTGCTCGCAAGCCTTCATGGTCATCGACGAGGTCTCTCCCTACAATAGAATCTTAGGTCGACCGTGGATCAGCAAGATCGAGGCCATCACATCTGCTATACACCAGAAGATCCGCTACCCCATCCCTAGGGGCAGGATCGGGCAGATCGACAGTGACCAAGCCATGACAAGGAGATACACAACCCAAGGGCTCAAGAAGAGCAAGCAGTTGCAGTTCACACCAGTAATGCAAGCTGTCAACGCGGCAGGAAGTGCTCATAGCAGACATACAAACCCGAAAGGGAAGGGAGTTGCTACCCCATAATAGCAATTAAGGAGCCAGGATCAAGGCGAGGGTATCTGCCCGAAAGACTCCCCTGAAAAGGGTTCGAAGCCTGAGGATGACGTCGAGTTAGTACCCCCTTATCTTGGCCAGCCAAACAAACAAGCGCAGATCGGCTCACGCCATAATCCAAACAAGAAGGATCAAGGCGAGGAAATCCACCCGGAAGGCTCCCATGAAGAAGGTTGGAAGCTTGAGGAAGACGTTGAGTTAGTACCCCTTGATCCTGACCAGCCAGACAAGAAAGCGCGGATCGGCTCGCGCCTAAGCCTAGACGAGAAGGTAGAGCTGACCACCTTCCTCCATAACAACAAAGACATGTTAGCGTGGTCACCATCTGACATACCCGGCATCGACCCAAGCATTATCTAACGCCAGCAAGCCCGTAGTGCAGAAGAGACGCAACTTCGCTCCCGAGCGGGTTGCGATTATTGAAGCCGAGATTGACAAGCTTCTAGCTACCGTATTCATTGAAGAGGTCTCCTACTCGGAATGGTTAGCCAACATTGTTCTGGTGGCAAAACAAGAAAATGGCAAATGAAGAGTGTGCTTCGATTGCACCGACCTCAACAAAGCATGCCCTAAAGACAACTTCCCATTACCGAGGATTGACCAGCTCGTGGATTCAACTTCTAGCAATCAGTTGCTCAGCTTCCTGGATGCCTACTCCGGCTATAATCAAATTATGATGTACGACGATGACAAGGCGAAGACCTTTTTCATCATCGAGAAAGGGACCTACTGCTACAAAGTTATGCCATTTGGGCTGAAGAACGCCGGAGCAACCTACCAAAGGCTCGTGAATAAAATTTTCAAGGAGCATATTGACAAAACCATGGAAGTGTACGTGGATGATATGTTGGTCAAAGCCCCCAAGCTTGCATACCACCTAAAAAACCTCGCCAAGGCATTCAGCCTGCTCCGCCAGTATCGCATGAAGCTGAATCTAAGTAAATGCACGTTCGGTGTATCGTCCGGCCGATTCCTGGGGTACTTAGTCACACAACTAGGTATCGAGGCACACTCACGCCAAATCAAAGCTATTCTCGAGATGAAGTCGCCTTTCATAGTAAAGGAAATACAGAGCTTGACGGGCAGAGCATTGGCCCTCAATCGATTCCTCTCGAAATCTACTGACAAGTGCAGACCATTCTTCAAAGCTTTGAAGAAGGGACAAAAAGACAAGTGGGACAGGGAGTGCGAAGTAGCTTTTCAGAATCAAAAGACCTACCTCACTTCACCTCCCCTGCTCTCAAAGCCAGTTCCTGGTAAAGACTTGTTCATGTACTTGGCAGTGTACAACTCGGCCATCAGCTCAGCTCTCATCCAAGAAAAACTTGGGGCCTAACATCCGATATTCTACATGTCAAAAGCTCTCCTTAATGCAGAGACTCGCTACCTAAAATTGGAGAAGCTCATTTTGGCCCTTATAGTTTCCGCGAGAAAGCTGCGACCTTGTTACTAAGCTCATCGAGTCATCGTCATGACCGACTACCCTTTGAGATCAATCCTCCACAGCCCTTCTCAGCGACTCATGAAGTGAGCTATAGAGCTAAGCCAATACGACCTCCTCTATCAGCCGAAGACTGCAACAAAAGCTCAGGCCTTAGCAGACTTTTTTGCAGAATTCACACCATCAGCCGAAGAAGAGAAGCTGGTCAGCAAAAAGAAGGAAAGTTCGAGAGCAGACAAGACCTCTGCTGAACCTGACCAACCCAGAGACATGTGGCAGTTACGCGTAGATGGAGCGTCGAACCAGAAAGGAGCTAGAGCAGGCGTCATCATCATCACCCCGGATGGAACCTTATTAAAGCAAGCTATCACGCTTGGCTTCCCGGCTTCAAACAACGAGGCAGAGTACGAGGCATTGCTCGCTAGCTTGCATTTGGCAATGGAGCTATCAATCAAGAAGCTGACCATCTACTCAGATTCCCAGCCGATCACAAGTCAAACCCCAGGAGAATACATAGCGAAGCACCCAAGGTTGATCTTATACCTTGACAAAGTCTAAGAGTTGTTGAAGGCATTTCCTACCTTCACCATCCAGTAGGTGCCCCAGTTCAGACGCTCCATCCTGGTCGAGCACCTTGACCAGCCTAGCATAGAAGAGGCAGAGCAGCCAGACCTGATGCAGATCGACGAGGATCCTAATTGGCAAGACCCCATCATTGACTACCTAGTGAACGAAAACTTGCCCGAGGACAAGTTCGAGGCCAGAAAAATCAAGCAGAAGGCTGGAAGATACTACATGAAAGGTGACACGCTTATCTGTAGATCATACTCCGGGCCTCATCTCACTTACATCAAGTACCCATAAACGCTCAAGGTTCTCTGCAAAATACACGACGACGAATGTGGAAATCACGTTGGGGGTAGATCGCTTGCTCATAAGGCTCTCAGCATCGGCTATTTCTGGCCTACCATGCGCTAAGACTCCACGGAGTATGCTCGAAGATGTGATTGAGGCCAACACTACAAGCTGGTCCCTGGCCTGCTAGCTGAGGAATACCATCCGCAGAATAGTCCATGGCCATTCATGCAATGGGCCATTGACTTGGTGTGACCTATGCCGACGACACCTGCCAATAAGGAGATGATGATCATTGCCACTGATTACTTTACCAAATAGATCGAGGCCGAGGCTTTATCTTCTACTAAGGAAGCTGATGTTGAACGGTTCATCTGGAAGAACATCATTTGCAGATTCAGTTGCCTGCAATCAATAGTCACCGACAACGGTACACAGTTCTTGGGCAGACGGATCACCGCATTCTTTGTGAAGTATGGCATTAAACAGCATCTGTCAACTCCCAGATACCCGCAAGGCAGTGGTCAAGCAGAGGCATCCAATAAGATCGTACTGGACTACCTAAAGAAAAGACTGGAAGGCGAATAAGGAAAATGGGCCGACGAGCTGTCAGGAGTCCTATGGGCTTATCGCACCACCAAAAGGAGATCGACTGGAGAGACACCATTTTCTTTGGCCTATGGGACAGAAGAAATCATTCCCCCCACACATCACAGTCCCTTCAATGAGCATTGAGGTGGGCAGTCTTGACCAAAACTGTAAGCAGATGAAAGTCAATTTTGATATGCTCGAAGAAGAACAAGAAAATGTCATTATTCGAGTTGCAGCCTACCAGCAGCAGTTGACGTCCTACTACAATAGGAAGGCCAAGATCAGACAGTTTCGGCTTGGAGACCTTGTGCTTAGAAAAACTTTCATCACAGCACCGAGGCAAGGGTTAAAGAAGATGAAGCCAAACTGGGAAGGCCCCTACGTGATTAGCCGATCTGGGGGCAGAGGAAGTTACACCCTCGACACTCTAGAAGGGAAAGAAATTCGGAGACAATGGAATGCCCACAACCTTCGGAGATACTATCCTTGAAGCTCTTCGCTTACCAGCTCGACTCGTAGCAGGAGACGAGCCTCTCGTGCTTCCATTAAAGACAAACTACTTTCGATGTTACCTATGTTGTTAATTTCCTTTATTCAATAAAGCGATGTATTCACACCAACATCAATACAAGAGCAAGCTTTTCAATGAAGTATTTGTAGCTTCATCTGTCACTTGCTCTTCAACTGCTTCTACACTCACAACATTGATCTACTCACTTTGAGCGGCAAGTCAAGATAGAGCTGCTCACCATCCTCATGTTTGAGAGGGCAACAAGGAGAAACACCGTTCTTGCAGTCCAAGTATCCCAACTTGTATGCATTAGCAGCAATTTCATGCTTAGACGCCTCCGTGGCTTTAACATGAGCAGAGCTATCACCAACTCCCGGATCGGCAATTCACGCAACTGAATGACTTTTTGCTCAAGTAGACGACTTTTTAGCTCTCTTGGGTGCAACTTGCAACATTGAGTCAACTCCGCGCTTGACTGTTCGTGGCTTTGTAGACAAGTTGTGATTGCTGGACAGAGGTACAGTCCTCTCAATTTGATTCTCGGATCAGTGCAGGCGACCGAAACCCTGCTTCTCAGCAGCCTTCTTATAAGGTAGATCACGGGTTTTAGGTAGTTCGGGCAAAGACTTGGGCAGAATATCCTGGATCTGTTGCATTCTATTGACATTCTTATTGTTCGCGTTGATGAGGCGCTTAATCTCTGCAGATGAAGAAGGAGCAACTCGCATGGGGATCTACTAAGCACACGAGACCCCCCTTGAGGAAGACTTGATCGTGGCAGAAGGAGGAAGTTTGGCCGAGGACTCCACCTGCTCAACTAGCAAATCGTCTAGGTCCGAGCCCTATAGCTTCCATCCTCCAACGTCTTCGGCAGGGGGCAGACCACCAACTTCCTTTCAAGGAACCTGATAGGGATGTTCAAAGCTTGCTGAACCTTGGTCATGTCCAAGCCGAGATCGAGCTTCTTGCAGATGTCATTCTCTGCAAGCAGAAGATGGAAGTTAGTCAGATATATAGCAAAAAATTCCATGGCAACTGCAGCAGATCAAAGAGATGCAATTTACCATCGTAGTAGGTGAGAGAAACGAGCGGACCGTCGCTAACCTCCCCTTCCCATCTGCCGCTGACTTCTAGCACGTCCATGCTCTACGCATGATCGCCTTGACTCACATTGTTCCTAGTTCGTGGCACAAAAAGAATAAGGAATTGAAGCAGTTTGGACCAGCCACAAATAAGCTAACCCAAACTGCCACCCACTCTAGCAACAGGCCCGCGCACCTCCAACCCAGTTATAGCTGGACAGCCCAAGTCAAAGACCAAGTGGCAAGTCAAAGACCTCATCCATTCGGAAGCCCAGTTGCAGCTGGACAACCCAACAATTAATCCACACCTCCTTCATGCCACCACGTGCCATACAGAAGCTGGGGGGCATTTGTGGAAGCAAAATATCTTACCCTAGGTTAAATAATTAGGCCAATCAATTTGGGGATTATTTGACCTAATTGAGAGTTACCTAACCTAATTGGGAGTTACTTGAATTAATGGGGAGGTTACCTAATTCAAATTGGATGTATTTGATCCTCGCCTTAATTAGGGATTTGGTTAAATCCCTAATCCCTAAATACACCAACCTCACCAAATGCATCAACCCCACCAACCTCACCAAATATGAAAGCCTAGCCCTCGACCTTATAAATACTTGTCTATGCATAAGGATTGAGGTACGTCTAAATTCCTACTGAAATTCTACATAAGTTATCCCTCACAAACCTTAGCCACCATATTATTTCTCTCCCTCACACAAGGCTTCGGCCAGTACACACAGCTTCGGCCACCCGGTTTTCCTTGAAACATCCTACCTAACTTAGGCATCGGAGGGCCTTTGGCCAACACCCCCTAGGTGTGGTCCTTTTACTCCGATCTATTTGTAGGGAGAAAGAGAAGCGGAAAAAACAAAGGAATCTTAGGCGATATTCTAGTGGGACGAAAATCGCTCCCACATTCATCTTCTTAAAAGAGTGAGGGAGCCAAAGCCACTCTATTGAAATGAATAAGAGTAACATGACAAAGGAATACTGTGAATGGGCTAGGTAAGGGTCATCAACCTTTTCTTGCCCTGCCTTTTTTCGAATAAAGCTCTGTGTTTGGATTTTGCATCCCTCCCTATATATATATATATATATATATATATATATATATAGTACTTTAGGAATTATAGAATCCAGTCTTTTCAACGGTCCAATACAATTTGATTGCTATTTAGACTTCACAGTAAGCCTCAGTGATCCTCACATATTAAAAACTTTAACATTAAACATTAAAACTTCTGGTTATGAAGTTCTACCAGGCACCCAACCTTTAGCCTTGTCTATAGGATTTATTATAAAGTCACAGGTACAAATATGAATTTCCAAGCCCTTAATAAAAGTCCTAAAGATCAAACTCTGTTAATTCAAAGTAATAAAGCAAATGCCAATATTCGAGTTCCTCATGCAATAAAGTGTTTACCCAATGGTTAGAGTTGGTTAGAGCTGTTAACATTGTTAGGAGGTTGGTTAGCTTAGCTGTCAACGGTTAGCAGGTTGGTTAGCTTAGCTGTCAGCTGTTAGCATGGTTATGAATATATATATATATATATACACTGTACTGTAACAAAAGGAATTAAGTAAGAAATATATCACTCAGTTTTCTCATCTGCTCTCAGAAACTTCTAAACAAACACTTTCCTCTCTATCTCTTTTACCATAGTTATCATGGTATCATCGCCATAGTCCGATCCTGATTTCTTGCTTCTGCTACCCTATTCTTTTCTCTCTTTTCTCTTTTCCCTGATTTCTTGCCCTTCCTTCACCTTTGTTGATTCTGCATTCCAATTTTGTCTTCGATTTCTTGCGCTTTCTGCACATCTCTGCATTCTGATTCTGTCTTCGATTTCTTGCGATTTCTTGCAATTTCTGCAATTTCTTCTTCGTGTATGACCTAAATTTCTGCATTTTCTTCGGTTTCTTCGTTCCTTCTGCTTTCATGGCGACTTCACATCTCAAAATGATGGTATTCTCGGTCTTATCACAATCCGGTTGAATGATGATAACTTCTTGAAGTGGCGATATCAACTTGAGTCTGTTCTGGACGGCTACGATCTCTTTGGCCATTTTGATGGCTCAAACATTGCACCTCCAAAATTCGCAATTTTGGATGAGGAAGGTGTCACCTCTAAACTCACTGCAGCCTATAAGGACTGGATGCAGGTCGACAAAGCACTTCTTAGCGTGTTGATCGCCACGCTGTTTGATGATGCGCTCGAATATGTCATCGGTTGCAAGACGGCGCATGATCGTGGATGAATTTGACTGATCGTTATGCCACCGTCTCTCGTGCTCGTATCAATCATCTCAAAACCGAGCTTCAGACTGCGCAGAAAGGCTCTGACTCAATTGAGAAGTTCTTGCTTCGCCTCAAACATATTCGCAATCACCTTGCTATCGCCGGTGTTTCGGTCTCCGATGATGATATGATGATTGCAGCCTTGAATGGCATTCCTTCTGAGTTTGATATGATTCGGACAGTCCTGGTTGCTCGTGACACTTCGCTTTCCTTCAAAGACTTTCGCAATCAATTGATGGCGGCTGAACAAGCCACAGAGGCACGCGTGCTGTCTTCTCATGCACCTATGGTTGGCATGCTAAGTCATTCCTCTTCTTCTGGTTCTTCCCATGCCTTCTCTGGTTCTGGCCATGGTGATGGTCTCCTTCCAACACCTCTCATGCCTCATACTGCTTATATGAGTTCGCAGCCTTTTGGTCGTTCTTCTTCTCATGCTTCTGGTGGCCGAGGCAAATTCTCTGGTTCTAGACCTTTTGGTCGTGGTTTTCAAGGCAGGTTTCACGGTCCTCCTAAGTCTGGTGGTGGAGTTGTTCCTGAGTGTCAGATCTGCAGCAAGCGAGGTCACACTGCGGTCAATTGCTATTTTCGCAATTCGAATCCCTCTTCTCACGAGTCCTCTTCTACAATTGAATGTCAGATTTGTGGCAAAAAGGGCCATGGGGCTCTGGATTGTTACCATCGCTCCAACTATGTTTATCAAGGTTCTCCACCTCCTGCCTCCATTACTGCGATGGCGGCTCAGACTTCTTTCTCTCCTGATGCAGTCTGGATTGCAGATAGTGGGGCCAGTCATCACATGGTGCCTCATATGACAACAATGGATTCTGCTTCTCCTTGCACCTCTTCCGATCAAGTCAGAGTGGGAAATGGGGAAGGTTTGCGCATTGATCATATTGGCTCAGCTCATATTCCCACTACAACTTCTTCTCTATCTTTATCTTCAGTTTTTCATGTGCCTCAGCTTACGGCCAATCTTTTGTCTGTGTATCACTTGTGCCGGGATAATAATTGCCGTATGATTTTTGATCAATTTGGATTTTCTATACAGGACAAAGTCACCAACAGGGTTCTGTTCCACGGCAAGAGTGATCATGGCTTGTATCCCATCCCATGCTCGGTTCCTTCTTCCATATGTGTAGACAATAAGCAGCCAAAGATGGCTTTTCTTGGACAACAAATTCATTCCTCGTTGTGGCATAGGCGATTGGGTCATCCTACTAATGAGGTTGTTCAACTCATGCTTAAGGAAGCACAACTCCCAGTGGTTTCAGATTCCATATCTCAGATATGTTCTTACTGCTTAAATGGTAAAATGCATCATTTACCTTTTTCTGCAAGGCATGATAAGGCACTTCTTCCTTTCTATAGGATTCATAGTGATGTATGGGGGCCTGCACATTGTAAATCGGTTGATGGTTATCGATATGTTGTAAGCTTCATTGATGAATATACTGGTTTTCTGTGGCTATACCCTCTTTGTGTCAAATTTGAGGTTTTCTCTCTGTTTCGCAAGTTTTTTGCCTTTATTACCAATCACTTTCATGCCTCAGTAAAGTATTTTCAAAGTGATGGAGGGGGAGAATATATGAGTCATCAGTTTCAGGATTTTTTATCTACTCATGGCATTGTGCATCAAGTCTCATGTCCTTATACATCTCAGCAAAATGGACTTGCTGAAAGGAAAAATAGGCATTTTGTAGAGACTGCCATTACTCTCTTGACTGAAGCTTCTATGCCTGACATATTTTGGTTTCATGCAATGGCACATTCAGCTTACCTCATTAATCGGATGCCTAGTAAGGTTCTTGCCAATCAGTCTCCTTATTTTCGGCTTATGCAAAAACTACCTGATATAAGATATTTGCGTGTGTTTGGGACTGCTGTTTATCCATGCTTAAGAGAGACCAATTCCCATAAATTGCAACCTCGTACTGCGTCTTGTGTGTTCATGGGATATCTTATGGGCTATAAGGGTGTTTTGTGCTATAATTGTACTACTCACAGATTTGTCATCTCTCGTCATGTCATCCATGATGAGTTAGTTTATCCTTTCAAGCATCCTAGCACTCTACACTCCAATATTATGTCCTCTTCGTCTCCGTCTCTGTCCATTAATCTCCCTTCCACTCGTGTCATTTTATCTGAGAACCTTGATTCACATGTCAATCATCCCTCTTCCTCTCCCTGTCAAGGCGAGTTCTCTCCTGCTGTACCATTGCCTCTCATTGTTACAGAGGCATCTTCTTCTTCCATTCAGCCTCTAGAGGGTTCTTTTCCTGTTTCGTCAGATCACCATGTGTCTCCTATTGAACATGTCAATTCTGGTTCTTCTTCTAGTCTCCCTTCTTCTCGGAACATCCATCCAATGACTACCAGGTCCAAATCTGGTCTGTGTTAGAAGAAGTCTTTCGAGGATTATCAGTGTTTTACTTCTATGCATGACTCTACTACTCTTGATGAGCCTTCTACATTTCGTGTGGCTTCTTTCTCTCCTGCCTGGATTAAGGCTATGGAGGAAGAGATTTCTGCCTTAACAATGCAGGGTACATGGTGTCTGGTCCCTCGCCCTGCTAATACAAATATTGTTGGCCCCAAGTGGATTTACAAGATCAAAAGAAATTCAGATGGGACAGTTTCTCGCTATAAAGCTTGACTGGTGGCACAGGGGTTTAGTCAAGAGGCTGGCTTTGACTACGATGAAACCTTCAGCCCAGTGGTACGTCATACCACAGTTCGTCTTATTCTCAGTTTAGCTGCTATTAATGGCTGGTCTTTGCGGCAGCTTGATGTCAAGAACGCCTTTCTCCATGGCGATCTTGACGAGGAGGTTTACATGAAACAACCACAAGGGTTTGAAGACTCTTCTCATCCTGACTATGTGTGCAAATTACAGAAGTCTTTATACGGTTTAAAACAGGCTCCAAGGGCCTGGAATGCAAAGTTCACGGGCTACTTACCTTCTCTTGGTTTCAAAATGTCACATAGTGGTCCAAGTCTGTTTGTGAAGATTTCAGATTCAGCTATCGTTGTATTGTTGCTCTATGTCGATGATATTATTCTCACAGGTTCAAACTCTCAAGTTGTTCAAGAGGTTATTACAGATCTTGGTTCAGTGTTTGATCTCAAGGACTTGGGTCCTCTTACCTTCTTTCTTGGCTTACAGATTTCGTATAAGTCGAATGGTGACCTTTTTATTAGTCAACAGAAATATGCCAAAGATCTTTTAGTCAAGGCTGGGATGGAATCATGTCAGCCCTGTCCAACTCCATCTAAACCTCACACACAGGTTCTTCCCACAGATGGTGAACCTTTAAAGGAGCCATCAGTATACCAAAGTATAGTGGGTGCTCTTCAGTACCTAACGTTTACAAGACCAGATCTCGCCTATTCTGTTAACACTGTCTGCCAATTTATGAACAATCCCACAGAGGTTCATTTTCAGTTGGTTAAAAGGATTTTGCGCTACATTCAAGGCACTTTGCACTATGGTCTTACTTACTCTTCGTCTGTTCCAGTTTCTGTGTCTGCATATAGTGATGCAGATTGGGCTGGGGATATTACCACTCGACGATCAACCACAGGATTTGTTGTCTTCTTGGGTTCCAATCCAATTTCATGGCAGTCTAAGAAGCAGGGGTCTGTCTCCCGTAGCTCCACTGAAGCTGAATACCGTGCTCTTGCTAATGCTTCAGCACAGGTCGCTTGGATTCGTCAGATACTTGCAGATCTTCATGTCTTTCTCCCAGATCCTCCTCTGTTGTTTTGTGATAACATGTCTGCGTTAGCTCTCAGCTCTAATCCCGTGTTCCATTCTCGCATCAAACATTTGGATGTCGACTTCCATTTTGTTCGAGAACGTGTACAACGCAAAGACTTCTTAGTGCACTACATTCCTACTGATGAGCAGGTGGCAGATGTTCTTACTAAGGGGCTTCATAGTCCAGTATTTGTTAAGCATTGTACCAATCTCAGTTTAGGCACCCTGACTGAGATTGAGAGGGGGTGTTTACCCAATGGTTAGAGTTGGTTAGAGCTGTTAACATTGTTAGGAGGTTGGTTAGCTTAGCTGTCAACGGTTAGCAGGTTGGTTAGCTTAGCTGTCAGCTGTTAGCATGGTTATGAATATATATATATATATATACACTGTACTGTAACAAAAGGAATTAAGTAAGAAATATATCACTCAGTTTTCTCATCTGCTCTCAGAAACTTCTAAACAAACACTTTCCTCTCTATCTCTTTTACCATAGTTATCAGTCAGATGTCAAGCTACCTTCAGATTGGACACTAGCAACCTAAAGTCACCCTGCTCCCATTCAGCATAATTTGAACAATTTAGATTACATTCAACAATATCTAGACGGCGCAGTAAAAATTAATTTTGGAAACCAACCCCTTCCGAAGTCCTCAGTCCAATTGCAGCAACTCCCTACACCTAGTCAATCTTTTAAACACAATCCTGCTAGACATTCCTTTGCTGCTTCATCCTCCACTCTAGAGCGAGACCTAGAGCTTGAAAAAACCCTCATAGATTTAAAATTAGAATCCCTCAGAAAAACCTCTCAAGTTAATCATCCTTGTTACAGTAAGCAACCAATAAAAGAAGATAATAAGTCAAATTCTCCAGATTCTCCCACACAAAACAGATTTTGAAGCTGATGCCATCCCAGTAGACAACCAATTAAGAACCTTACATAAGAAATTTAAAATACATTGGAAAATTCTTGATGAACATCTCGAGTCAGAAGAAAATATTGCAAGACGCAATAGATATAGAGCAACCTACCCCAGTACTGAACAAAGACAACAAGTTTTTAATGCGTGGAAAAATTATATGTTAGAAACCGAGTCAGAAATATTTTATCTTGATTTTGTTGAGAATATTTATCAAAAGAAAAAGATAAAAACCCTAACTTAAGAAAAATGGAAAAAGGAATATAATACCGAAGTCATAGCTAGTCACCCCCCGGTAGAAACCATAATTATAAACCATAAAAATACCGAAATTACTACCAGTCCTTTCAAGATCCCTGAGCAAAATGATAAAAAAAAATTAAATGAGCAAAATAATTATACAAATCAAAGTCTGATAGTCTTAGGAAAGCAACTAGATAAAATTGAAACAAAGGTTGATAAGTTACTAACGCATGAAATAACTCCTAAGTTTCATAAAGAAAAACCCTTAGTGAGATTCCAATACTAAAAGCCAAGCTCTACTCTAAGGACGATCCCTACAATAGAAAAAATTGAAGAAATGCTTAAACAGTTAACCCCAGTAAAAGAAAAACCTGAACCCTCTAGTCTCAAAACTTTAGAATCCTCTGCTCCAATAAGCTACTCTGACACCGAATCCATGTCCTTTTGTAACACAGATTCTAGTAATATAACAAAAATCGAAAAAGCCTTTAATAATCTAGAAATAAGCAATAATCAAAACCTAAAACTTAGCATGTTAAGAAACAAAGTCAATCCTACTAGTCTAACAAAAAATTGGTACCCAAAACCAGCTCCCCCTAATATCCAGTTCGAAGAAAGAAATTCCCAAATTCAATTCTCAATCTCATCTGATAAGCTTTACGAATGGAACATCAATGGCCTGTCAGAACAAGAAATCTTAAACAAATTACAACACATGTCCATGGTAGCCAATAGCTACATCACCAATCATAATCTAAGACAGTCAGAAATCATTCCCCTTTTAGAAACTGGGTTTACCGGAACCTTACGTTCTTGGTGGGATAAACACTTAACCGAAGAGTCAAAATGACAAATCACACATGCAGTAAAACTAAATGAAGATGGTCTCCCTATTTTTGATGAACGATTAGGTGCAGGAATAGAAGATGGAGTCAACACTTTATTATATACAATAATTGAACATTTCATAGGAACACCTAGTAACACAACAGCCAGAATTCATGATCAACTTAGTAACCTTAGATTTCCCAAATAAAGCGATTTCCGATGGTATAAAGATGTCTTCATATCTAGAGTCATGCTAAGAGAAGATAGTAATCAACCCTTTTGGAAAGAAAAATTCATTAATGATCTTCCCAATCTGTTTGCCCATAAAATATGAACAGTCTTAAGTAATGATCAAGGCCATATAGACTTTGATAGTCTCACCTACGGTAATATAATTAGTACAATTAATCAAGTTGGAATGAAAATGTGCGTTGATATGAAAATTGGTAAACAAATTCAGTCAGATAGAAAATCAGCCAAGTATGAATTAGGAGACTTTTGTGAACAATACGGCTTAGTATCCATTCCACCCTCTAGAAAAATCAAACATAGAAATTATGAGCGTCAAACAAGTAAATCCAAACATTGTCAAAGAAAACAACATTCCTTTAAACATATGATGAGTTTTATAGTAAAAGAAAGTTTCATCCCAAGAAAAATGCGTGAAAAAGGTAAAGATGACAAACCTAAAAAGACCACCGACAAAAAGAAAATTGAGTGCTGGAAATGTAAGAAATATGGTCACTATGCTAATGAGTGTAAAGTAAAAGACACAATTAAACAATTAAAAATCTCAAAAGAAGACAAGGCTCAATTAATCAACGTCCTCGAACTAAGAGATTCTGAGTCTAGTGAAAATAGGATTTCTGTCTCAAGTTCTCCCGACTATAGTTCATCCGATACCCAGTCAAGCTCCCCAAAATACAGTTTGGATGTAAAGATAAATGTTGTAATGTCTTAAATAAATCTATCCGAGTCCTCACAAAACAAGAAGAACATGAGGAATTACTCATAGATTTAATAAGTAAAGTTGAAAATCCATAATTAAAATCTAAATATTTGACAAGATTAAGAAAAATCGTTAGTCAAGAAGAAACAAGTCAAAGCAGCCTCCCCAAGATAAGGCTAACACTACTTTAGAAAAGTTCAACAAGAAAAAGGAAATCACTCTACAAGATCTTCAACTTCAAATCAAAACCATCAAAAAAGAAATAACAGACTTGAAACAATTTAATTGTAAGTTACAAAATGAAAATTTTGAAATAAAACAAGATCTAGTTACTTTAATGGAAAGAATAGATTATGACCCCAAAAATCAACCTGAGAATCATTCTGATGAAGAACCTGAACCTTTGAGCAATGATAAAGCCCATAATTTAATTAAGCAGATAAATTTTAGAAAATGGTATTCAAAAATCAATATTTTCATTAATGATTTTGAATTAAAAACAGTAGCCCTTTTTTATTCAGGAGCTGATCTTAATTGTATTCACGAAGGATTAATCCCAACCAAATACTACAAAAAGTCAAGAGAAACCTTGGGTACTACCTCTGGAAAACCACTTCAATTAAAATACAAAATTCGTAAAGCCCATGTCTGTTAAAATAAAATTTGTTTTAAAACATCTTTTGTCCCAATCAAAAGTATTACCGACGAAGTCATTTTTGGTCTTCCCTTTTTAGCCCTACTCTACCCGTTCCATGTAGAAGATGATGGAGTCACTTCTATCCATATGAAAGAGAAGGTTAAATTCGGATTTCTAACAAAGCCAGAACTTCATGCCTTAAGAGCCCTTCAAAATTGCGCTAGCTCCAAAACAGTTAAAATAATTCAGAATAAAAATAGGCAAGTAAAATTCCTAAAAGAAGAAATTAAATTTAAAAGAATTGAACAGCAACTCAATAATGAATCCCTACTGTCACAAATTCAAACATTCGAAGAAAAACTAAAACAAGAAGTTTGTTCAGATCTTCCTAATGCCTTTTGGCATAGAAAACAACATGTAGTTAGTCTACCTTATGTCAAAACCTTTAGTGAAAAGAATATTCCCACTAAAGCCAGACCAATTCAGATGAGTCAAGAAATTATGAAATTTTGTAAAGAAGAAATTTATGAGTTGCTCCAAAAAGGAATAATCAGGAAAAGCAAGTTAGCCTAGTCATGCCCTGCTTTCTATGTCCAAAATAACGCCGAATTAGAAAGAGGAGCTCACAGATTAGTCATCAATTACAAACCCCTCAATGCTGTTCTTGAATGGATCAGATATCCCATTCCCAATAAAAGAGATATCATTAAAAGAATAGGAAATTCCGTCATCTTTTCTAAGTTCGACATGAAAAGTGGATTTTGGCAAGTTCAAATAAGAGAAAGTGATAGATACAAAACTGCATTTGTCACTCCCTTTGGTCATTACAAATGGAACATTATGCCCTTTGGCTTAAAAAATGCCTCTAGTGAATTCCAGAATATAATGAATGAAATATTCAACCCTTTCAGTGATTTTTCCATAGTTTATATTGATGATGTTCTTATTTTTTCTCAGTCAATAGAACAACATTAGAAGCGTTTACATAAGTTTCTTCAGGTAGTCAAACACAATGGTCTTGTTGTCTCTGCTAAAAAGTTAAACAATTGCAAACCAATATTAGATTCCTTGGATTCAATATTTATCAGTCACAAATTAGTCCAATAGATCGGGTCGTTCAATTTGCTAGTAAATTCCCATATCAAATCCTTGATAAGAGTGAACTCCAAAGATTTCTAGGATCTCTTAACTATGTTTCTGACTTTTATCATAATCTAAGAACCCAATGTAAACCCTTGTTCGATAGGCTACAAAGTAATCCTCCTCCTTGGACTCCTAATCATACAGATATAGTCAAACAAATTAAAATTCATGTCCAAACCCTTCCTTGCCTTGGCATTCCTTCAGTCAACTCCTTCAAAATCATCGAAACCGACGCCTCCGAAATTGGTTACGGAGGCATTCTTAAACAAAGAGTTTCTCCAGATCAACCAGAACAACTTGTTCGTTTCCATTCTGGCATCTGGACTCAATCACAAAGTAATTATAGTACTATAAAAAATGAAATTCTATCTATTGTATTATGCATCTCAAAATTTCAAGATGATTTACTTAATCAAAAGTTTTTAGTCAGAGTCAATTGTAAAAAGTGCAAAACATGTTTTAGAAAAAGATGTTCAAAATATTGCATCAAAACATATTTTTGCACGTTAGCAAGCAATTTTGAGTGTTTTTTATTTTGATATTGAAT